GGTATGGTCGAGGTCAGTGGTCTGTTAATTTCTTTTTAGCTCAATGTGTTGGCCATGCCAATATGGTATATTTCATCCGTCTCTTGTTCCACCTCGCCTTTGCTTGCTGCTTAGCAAGCATCTTCAACGTGCCTTACGCATTCCACTTGATTTACTACGACTGGTCCCCATGGCAGTGGATATTCTGCGTTCTCAATCCTGTGCCCTTCATCTTAATCGGTTGGATTTCCATCAGTCAGTTTTTCTTCTGCCTTATGACCTCCTTGTGTGTCATCCTCGGCCCCACAATGTTCATTCTTTTCCTCTATCATCTGCGTCAGATTTTGCGGAATCAGACAAGCGTAGAGGCACTCATCTCGAAGGCGCAGAATCCTACCCAAATCCTCTATGAGGAGCACGATTTGAAGCCCCTGAATTATGATTGTGGATGGAGGGCTAACTTGGAACAAGTAATGGGGAAGCGATGGCTTCTGGGATTTCTTTTTCCCTGTCTTCCTGTGATGCGATCTACGGACGGTCTAAGTTTTCCTTTCTCAGATGCATAGACCATTTTTGTTGCATTTATGGTCGCTCTATTATTCGTCTTTTTTATTTCTTGTACAATAAATAGTAGGTAAAATGTGATTTTCCTTGTATTCCATTGCCATGGGAGTGATTACGACTATTGAATTCGTGCATATTGACATTTTCTTCATGTTTTTGGGATGCCAACTTCTTCAAGCCTTATCGGGCACAAGATTGCCATCTGCAGATAATTTTGTTAACCTCCTTCTGTCACAATGTTGGGCTCCGTTTGTACATTCATAAACGGGGTCTTACATTCTCTGCGTGCAGGTGCCCTAGGAACTAGAGCATTGAGAAGAATGCTGGTCTCGATTCCTCACAATATGCAGAAATTTGACATCAATCGTCGGCTCCGCATGCCAAGTTGGCACTGATATCACGCCTATCGTAAGGCACGCGCCCTTTGGAGTGGTGTGTAGCTCCAGCCTCAATACCCTCCTCATATTGCGGTTTTGGCTTCATAGTCGGTGACTTTAGACTTCCGACTCTTCAGTAAGGTGTTGTGGTAACTCCCTTTCCATCCTTTTTACAGGCAGCGATTTTGCTAACTCACTTTTGTATTTGAAAAATTAGGCTCGTGTCTCTTGGCATTGGTGAGGCGCCACAACAGCACCAAGGCAGTGTATTCTTCCTCACCACCTCATCGTTCCCACCGACACTTTAGGATGGCAGTTATATGTGTGAAGGCCATATTTGTGGAGATTCAAACGATGTAGAGGATAAGTACTCAAAGTAGACGGACCGAAACTGGGTGGATAGTGGGTTTCAAAACGCTCGCAAGTTTCCTTCTGTCGATGGGTCAATCAAACACCACAGAACGTTCTTCTCCCTCGATCGCTGTTCGAAAGTAGACGGGGAACACGGATTCGTATTCACACCAACTAAAAAGCCGCTATAGTTCAACCCTCTGCCTGTGGAAACTTGGTGAAGGATAGCCGATTAAGAGCACCTCTGCCCACCACTCAGAACTGAATCAAGTTTACCACCTAGCCACTCATTGACAGTTTAACGCTGTCAGATGGGTCCCGCACCATTCGCAGTGGTTACACCCATCCATCACATGATCACCGCAATGTCATATATACTCCTGCAAGTCGCCTCTCCAACTCGTATTCAGCTGTCTACTCT